TTTTTCCTCCTTGATCAAAGGATGGTATGGAGGATACATGGTACCCTTATAGACTACCACGTAGGCTGTTGTTAGAATGATTCTGGGCCATCTATACACCATCTGTTTGGTTGATAGTTGTAATTGGAATCAGAATAAGAAACAGAAATTTATAAAAAATTATTGACATGTTTCTAATTATATTACAAATTCACATATGAAATAATAAATAAAGTATCATAAATGAGAATTTTTTCTATTAATTAATAATAGAAATGGCTAAAACTACAAAAATAAAAAGAGGGAGAGAGAATGAATATCTAACCCATAACCTTTCGATTGGGTCAAATAGCTAAATCACCAAGTTTTAGATTTGAGGGTAAAATGTGATCTTGCTATATATTAAAAAAATGACTTAAACTAAACACTTATAACGTTCAAGAATACAAATATTACACTCTAAATATTCATATTTATACCCTTACCAAAGTGATAAAAAGTAAATTCCAAAGGGGCTATATATATATTTCCCCAAATCCTACCAGACAAATGGAACAAGAAAGAAGATCTCATACTGCAACTTCATGGAGTCTTTCCTGGTTTCAGCAGCGCTCCTTCTCCTCACCTCACCCATGCATGATGCAATGATGCATTGGTGCACCCACCCAGTAGTCACCCTCCCTACCACGAGACGAGGATCCAGCTTTGCCTTTGCTAGCTCCACCGCCTCCCCTCCCGTACGATCGTGCTGTACCACAGGCCTACCCCCTCCTGCCACTAATATACATTTACTTTCATTAATCAAAAGTAATTAAAAGTCTAAGTACGTGCTTATGTTAGGGAACAAGAACAGGGTCTGTCGGTCTCTGCCACAAAAGCAATTGTTGCTGTACTCCACAACTCCAACTAAGAATCTCTAATTGCTCATTAGAAAGCAGATTAGATTAGATTGCACCAAACAAATCACTACTCACTAGCATTTTCTCCATTCGCCACATCTAAGGAACCTACTGAGAATTGTCAAAGACTCAAGCCATCTTTAGAATATTGAGTCGGTATGTTTTTGCTTGAGTTTTGTTGGATTTGTCGACCAACATCCCCCCATCTCCCCAACAGTTGAATCTTAAAAAAATGGATGCTGTTTCATGTGTTCCATTGAAAGCTTGCTGTGGATGATAATAAAACCAAGCTTTTCTGTGTTGGCATGGAGCTGGAGATTTACTATTTATTAAATAACTTAACAAACACAAAGAATAATACAGAAGTAAACAAGTTCTAGAAGATGTAAACAGAGAGAGAGAGAGAGAGAGAAATATCAGAGGACAGAGATATAGGGAGATGAGACAAGAACACAGAAATAGATAAATTAACAAGTTGAAGTGCAGAACAGTGAGCAAAGATGATTTCTTATAGAAAAGCCTATCTGGACTTCTATGGACCACAGATTAGATGTTGGAGCGTTCAATCAATCTTATGAAGATGGGAATTGCATGTGGGACAAAGTTCTCTAAGCTTGACGCAAACTGGAGCTTCAGAGACAAAAAGCGATTCTTGACGCGTTTGACAGGTTTGTGAACACCAACTCGCCGAGGCTGAAGCGGCTCTCTTAGAGAGACAATGTTATTAAAAAAATTGCAACTGGGGAGTAAGAAATTAGAATCAAAATTGAAATGGGTGATAAAAGATGTTGTATAATTAAGTCTTATCATGTCAAAATGTTAAATTATATATAAACGGGGCAAAACCGATGTGGTCATTGTTGGATCACATTTCAGGGCGTTCAACCAACAAAAGCAGTATCATCATCAATAGTATTGTTTTGTGCCTACAGAAAACAAGGACAAGAATGTAAGCTTGAGCTAGCACAAAATGTTCATTCTTTATGTGTTTTCTGCAAGCATGCATTCTACTACATACAGAATTCCTAGAATAATATATATAAAAGAAAAAGAATTTAAAAACAAATGCAAGTAGAGCAAAAGAAATTTGAAGTTTACTGCAAAAAAAAAAAAAAATAAAATAAAAAAACTGAGAAAAATATCCTGAAATGGCCTTACTGAGCTAATCTTATATCAACAATAACGTGGACATCTATTGATCACATTTTTATGGTATTTTAACAATCCAAGTTATAGTACATTATTGCCAAAAAAAATGGTATCTAAATTTGTAGCAATGACATAAATAACAAGAGCAGCAGGATGAAGGAGCTAAAAGGGTTATGTATAGAACAAAAAGACAGGGATCAAAATAGTAAGGCCCCATTTGGTTCACGGAATATGGGTCTAGAATTGAAATTAGAATGGGCTATTCTGATTTCAACTGTTTGGTTGGGCTAAATTGGAATCCCATTTTTATTCTTGGTGGAATGACATTCTCTCATTTGAGGGAATGGTCCTTTAAGAATTAAGGGTCCGTTTGATTTATAGTCGGAATTGGAATTGGAATGGTCCATTTCCATAATCTGTTTGGTTCGGTCAAGAATAAAAATGGGAATTAAAATCAGCAGGAGTGGGATTTCATTCCCAAGGGAGGGGCATGGAATGACCATTCCCTCAAATGGGGGAATGTCATTCCAGTAGGAATGAGAGTGGGATTCCAATTCCGCCCAACCAAACAGTTGGAATCGGAATAGCCCATTCCGATTCCGATTCCGATTCCAGACCCCTATTCCGACAAACCAAACGGGGCCTAAATTACATTTCAATTTTCATTTTCATTCCTTTTTGAACTAAATAAATTATGAGAATAAATTATTCTGATTCCGATTCTAAAGGACTTTCATTCCGATACGAGTCGGATTATAAACATTCTAAGCTTTTTAATAAGAATTAGGATTAGCTGAATGTCATACAGTGAGAAATTAAATGATTATAGGTCTGATTATGTATTTTATTTTAACGTGGAAAATTATCATTGACTCCACAGTCAGCTGAATAGCTATTGCATTCATCCCTTGCAGCTGTGTATTAAAATTATCTCCCCATGCACAGCTGCTTGCAAGAGACCGTAAGTAAGGTTGTGTGAATACGAAATCCGAATTCAGTAAATAGATGGGTGCCGACGATTAATCAACCCTCTTTTTATTTTTTATTTTTTTATTGGAGTCGACATTTTTCAAACTTTTATTCAATGAAAATTACAGATGCCTAAACCTAAAACCATCAAAAAAAAAAAAACAAAGGCTACTGAAATTGGAATTTTTGAACTTGAAGTAGTTGGCACTTGGCAGCTGTGAAATAAAGAATGTCAAAATTCCACTTGTAACTACAGCGATTCTTACGAAACACGCGCTGTGATTCATGAAAGTGGTTGAGTTTGATGGTGGTCCGTGTTAGGACATAAGGCGTGTAGGCCTAAGCTTCCACTCAACCAGTTGACTTTGACTGCCAATGAATGGGATCATTTATTAATTAGCTATTAATAGTCTGAACTACATGTACACAAGCAACAAGAGCTTACCCGGAAACCAGAAAGCCCTCAGGAGTCCTATTTATTAGAGAGATAGAGAAAGGACAAAGAACAAATTTCTCTTTCACTCTCTCACCCATTGTTGACCTGGCTGGTTGGACGGTTGGACCCATTACCCAGTCATAAATCCCAGTCCAGGTCAACCTCTGATCCACTATTCTACAAAACCCCATTCACTCAAATCTCAATCAACATCCCATCAACCCAAGTGGTTCAACCGACGATCTACCCGACTTGTTCAGCCGGTTATTGGTTTTTTGTATTTGTTTCATTTTTTGTAACTTATATATATGGATGATGTCATAGATTGACATGTTGACCTTGATGGTTGACCGCTGACATGTTGACCTCTGTAAGGTGCTGCTCATTAATATTACTGTAGGGTAAAGCCCACCTTGTCTTTGGCAATAAACTCTTCAACACCAACCCAGAAGGCCAGAAGGCAACAGCAGCTAGGGTTGAATTGGAACGTTCTCTACAGTGAAATATGTTGCTGTTGCGTGTGAAATGATTAGTGAATTGAGACGTTTTTCTTTCATGCCCTGGTTTTAGTACTCCTCCCTCCTAAGGGTTTCATTTAAACAAAGGTTTGACCACTGTGTTTTTGAGTAGTTTAACAAGAAAGGAATGATGGTGAACTCTCAAGTCACAACTTTGGACTTCAGAAGCATTTGTCAATGGAGGTTTTTATTAGCTAAAGTTTGGACTTTGGATGCTTCTCCAAGAAACTCAAAACTGCAAAACCTTATTCTTTGCACCATGACCGTTGGTTTTTCTTCTGGGCCCAAATGAGGCCCATACCCCTTCTATGTATTGTCAATTGCCCNCCCCCCCCCCCCCCCCCCAACAGTCTAACACTGTTATACTAATACCAATTGGTGGTTACAGGAGAAGCCTGTAACCGTGGTCATAGCAGATTATTTTTGAACTTGGTGATTGGCATTTCCTCCGACATATGCCATATATTCACATCAAGATATGGATCTAAAGGCTAAAAGCATGCATGAGATCGTCGTTACCCACTTACCCCTTTTCACTTAGATTAATTGTTAAAAGCTTGATAATAAATCATGCCGGGTCAAGTTGCACTGACATCATAATCAATTGATTTGTCAAAGGCTTTACACAGAAAAAAATATTTTTTGACATTAATTCTTTTCAATGATTAATTGTATTGAGTCTCTAAAAGCCCACATCTCTCGTACAAAACAAATATCAAAGCTCGATTCAGCTCTCTGTGTAAAATAAAGAAACCCAGAAAAAAAAAAAAAAGAAGAAGAAGAATGTCAAAGCTCAAAAGAAAGAACATTCTGTGGACCTCTCGTTACTTTTCTGTTTTCTGTCATCCTTTAATGCAATAAAGAGAGATGTTGGAACTGGAAAGGGATCCTTTATTACGACTCGGGCGAGTTAATTACATCTCGACTACGAATCCCATGGTCAATTCTTTTTGCTTTTGCTTCCAACTCCTAAACTTTCACCAATTCAACGCTTGCTTGATTTGGAATAACGGCTGTGTCAAATGCATAAACTAAACAAAAAAAAAGGAATTTCTAGGAACCTCGCTGAGCCCAAATGCAGGACAGCGATTATATTATTATAATATATTTCAACTAATTCTCAGTCTACAACAGTTCATCATTTGGATCTCTTCATCCGGGAAATTAAACACTACAGTCTACAGAAGGAAATGAAAATAGAGAGGAAGAAACAAAAGAAAAAAAAAATATTACAGCGAAGAGAATAAGATCCCTTGATCTGCTGCCCTTCTTTTCTCCATGAAATCATTTATTCTCTTCAGTGCAACTCTCAGTGTTTTTTCGCTCATGTTGGCAAAGCACACCCTAAACCAACCTGGCTCAGAACAATGGCATGAAGAGCCTGGAGATATATTCAGTTTCACCTCATGCAAAATTGTATTCCACAAAGCCAATTCACCTTCTTTTGTTGGAGTCTCCAAAAATGGGCTCAGATTCATCCAGCAAAACAACCCGCCATTCCCTTTCAGACAATCGATCCCAGCATTCCTCAATCCTGCAACAATCATTTCGTATCTCTTCTTTAGCCTCTGTCTGTTGGTCTTTATGTAGTTCTCGGTGAATTTGGTGTCTGATAGCATTGAAGCCAAGAGATATTGTGTTTGCGAAGAGACCAAGGAGAAACTGGACATTCTTCTTGCAGTTGTTACAACCTGATCATTGTATGAATATATTGCCCCAACTCTGAAACCTGGAAGGCCGAGATCTTTTGATAGACTATAGACAATGTGAACTCTCTCTGAGTTCTTGAGATTCCGAGCCTCCAGAATTTCTGCAGTGCTCGTGAATTCGGATGGGGAGAAGACAGAGCCTGAGTAGATTTCATCTGAAACAAGATGGATGTTTTTACGGGTGACGAAGTCAAGAATCTCTTCGAGCACCGGTCTTTCAACTGTAATGCCTAATGGGTTGGATGGGTTTGTTAACAGAAGCCCTCTAACCCGAATGTTCATGGCCTCTGCTTTACTGTATGCTTCTTCTAAAGCTTTGGTGGTGATCTGATAGTTGTTCGAGCTGTTGCAGTGAACCGGTACAATCTTGACGCCAGTCCTCCACCTGAGATCTCTGTCGAATCTGTGGAACAATTGGAAATATTAGTTCAGAGATGTAAAAACAAGTGCAAATTGTTGAATAAAGAAAAAACCAGGATGTCGCGCTTCTCCTTCAGTCCTTACCCTGGATAGTATGGAGTTGGAATTAGCAAAGCATCTCCAGGATCAGCTAAAACGAAAGTTAGTAGTTCATTGGCCGCTGTTGCACCTGCTGTGAGGACTATTCTATTGGGGTCGAATTTTGCTCTTCCACCTCTTATCTGCTCCATGAAACTCGCCATTGCCTGTATAGCAGGAAAGCAGTGGTATACAGAGTTAGCATTCATTCCACTGTGTGAGCTCAAAAGCCCCAGAAGATTTGGTACTTGAAAAGATGAGTCTGAAATGTGTATGAGGGCGTACCTTTCTGAAATGAGTGAGTCCATGGTAATCTTGAAACAAAGCATTCTCTCTAAATCCAGATAACCCATTACCCCAGGTTGCTGCTTCCGAGTGCTGTTCCAAGTACTCCTCTATTAAATCGAAGGAAACCTATTCAGAAACAAGCAGAAAAACATTACATGCCAGCTCTAATCAGTATATACTGATTTTTCTTCTTTTTCTCTGCATTTGTTTGGCTTGGTGAATCCTATCGATACTTACTTGGTTTTCTGCCAATCCCATCTGTATAACGCCCGATTGGTTCTTCAACTCATCATACGGGTTTTCATCATACGCCTTCCATCCTGCAAAATATGGAGAGTTTTCTCCATGAGTTTCAGAAACTGCAATGTTTGATAGGCCAACAACAGATGGCTGCTCAATCTCTATAGCCATAATAATTGGCTTTTTGCAAAGAAAATCTGCTGCGTGTGAAGAACGAAAGATGGTTTTTATGAAAGGAGAGGAAGCTCTTGTGTATGGAAGAATGAGAGCTCTGCAGAGAAATGCTGGATGAAAAAACCTCGTCTAAGAACTGGTATTTATAGGCAACCCTGGACTCACCTCTTCCCATTTTACTTGGAGATAATAAAGTCTCCCGAAAAGAAAACTTAATTATTGTTTGTAGCTTTGTGAGATTTTAATCCCTTCACAGTTGGTATCTTCTGTCATTGTTTTTTTTTCCCATATCTTTTCTTTATTTTTCAGTCCCCACTATATCTACAATCCCACAATAAATTTCCCTTTTTTTTGTACCTTAACCGTTCTCTGTTTTTGATGAGGGCAGATTTGGCCCTCCAATGACACCTAGCACCTCATGCCAAATAAGTGCAGCCTCTTGACAACTAGACAGCTCGAGCTCGTCACAGGCAGCTTGCCATAGGCAGTTCATCACAGGCAGCTCGCTACAAGCAGCTCGCCACCTGACAGGTCAACAAGTATCAGCTCGCCATAGAACGAGCTTGAGTACGCCGATGTCCCGAACTGCACTCCGAGTTAAGTTCATCCCAGTTCGCGAACTAGAACAACAAGTTCGCTCCAGGCCCAAGCAAGTGGGCCACCTCAAAGACAACTCGCCTTAGGCAGAATCACCTCGGCGCACCACCAGTAGCTCGTCACAGGGTAGCTCGCTACGGGGTGGCTCGGCGTTCTACGGGAAGTTTCTCATCTGACAAAGCCGTACCTGCCAGACTGCTCCCACGTCCCTCGTCTAACGGCGCAGCGCCTACCAATTCAGAAGGTTGCGCCCCTATCTCCTACCTGGCGGCGTCGTGCCTACAAGTTGTCTCCCGACTGGCGGGACCATACCATGCAACGGTCACTGTAGCCCGCCTACTCTCGGCCCTGATAATAATGGCCAGCCACTCCGAGGTACGACTTGATAGCGGATCGCCACAACAAGGATTTGGGATCAACCCCACCGAACCTGTCAGACGCCAGTATATAAGCACTCCAACCCCTCAGAGGCAAAGGCATCGCATATTCACCACTCTCTAGCTTTCATCTTCTTGCATACTCATTCTCTTTCTCAGCTCGCTATCGAGTTCTGACTTAAGCATCGGAGAGTCCCCGCCGGGTGTTCAACCCCAGGTCCCTTCGTCCTTCTTGTAGGTATCTCTTGCCCGTCGCCAGCTAGAAGCCCCGTCACTTCCAACTAGGAGTGGCCGGATTGCGCATCATCAATTGGTGCCGTCTGTGGGAAACGTTTCAAAAGGCTTCTCTACCAAACTTTCACCAGCATCAATGGCGTCTTCTAGCAACGCCGGGCTTAACAACGGAACGAACACCTCTGGGGGGCACCTCCAAGCTCCTACTGTACGTATTGGACAGTTTACTGTACCCCTCAACACCTTCAGAGTTCCCACGCTGGACCTACCCCAAGTTGTCGAAGCTGTGAACTCCCCACTCCCTTCTGCGGTGAACACCACCTTCGTTGAACCCGCTGTGGTCCCCCACGCGATGGGGCAAAGCCAGCTTGGTGACTTAGTGCAGTGTGTATGAGTCATGCAAGCCCAAATGCAGCAAGTCCAGCAACTTCAGCATTACCAACAACAAGTCTTCTGTCACTTCTACCAGCAGCAGTTCCCGGTATTGCAACAGAGCCAGTAGCCAGCCCAACCGCAGTGCCCCATAACACCGCTGAACCAGCAGCCATTCGATCGCCGTCGAAGTAGTCGCCCTCTTCGCAGAGGGGAAACCTCCCAAGCCTCATCCCGTAGCAGGAGAGAGCTAGTAGCTCCCACTGCCTCGCGGTTACAAGGCGAATCAGAAAGCGCTTGCCCCACCAAGGCCGGTCCATCCTAGCGCGCTCAACCGGAAGCCTCGCTGACGGGCAACCGGTTTGAAGTCCCGGCCGCGAACTCTGAACGAGACCCCTCGGTTTGCAAAAGCCAGTATCAGCCGGATTCTCCCCAGGCCAAGACCCGGCCTGACAGTACTGAAGCAAGCAACACCAACATGGATCCCACCAAGAAGCAGCCAAGACGGCATCCCAAGGTGCGCCATGCAATAATCCCTAAATAGCTCGCGGAGCCCAACCGACCCGAACAACCCAAAGGTAGGACGGGAGCGAGCTCGGGAGTCATGAAGACCACCCCTCTCCTCTCGGTGCCATCTCCCCTCTCCCCCGATCTCCTAGCAGCTCCCATGCCAAAGGTCTTCAAGGTACCCCCTCTAGACAAGTACGACGGGTTGTTTAACCCAAGTGACCATGTGGACTCCTTCCAGTCCCAGATGCACCTTGTCGGGGCCAGTGAAGCTTGCATGTGTGTCGCCTTCTCCATGACCTTCAGAGGAGTAGTGCGCACGTGGTATAGAAACCTCCCATCCGGAGCAATCCAGAGTTGGGCGCAATTCGTACAAGCATTCACCTCGCACTTCGTTACTAGCAAGAAATGTTCGAGGTCGCAAAAAAGCTTTCTTAGCATAATCCAGAAAGAGGGAGAGTCCATCCGAAGCTACGTCAAACGCTTCAACCACACTTGCCTCCTGATCCCGGACCTAGACCCCGCTGTGAGACTCGCCGCAGTAAAGAGAGGAGTCACTCACTGGGAGTTCGAGTGGCACGTAGTGGTGAACAAGCCCAAAGACATCACCGCATTCCTCAAGCTCGCTGACCAATTCATCGAGACTGAAGAGGAAATGAATCAAAAAGTCGGAGCTCTAGCAGAGAAGAGGAGGAGAGACGACGACAAAGACCTCGGCACCGCATAAGCCCCAATCACCTCTTCGGCATGGGCAAAGTTTAGGAGTGGACTACGAGTCGCTCCCAAAGCCTACGGGCCACACTACTGCTGAAAGACCCAGTCGCCTCTTCGGCATGGGCACCTAAGTCCTTGTCGCCTCTTCGGCATGGGCGAGCTAAGTCCCAGTCGCCTCTTCGGCATGGGCGAGCTAAGTCCTAGTCGCCTCTTCGGCATGGGCACCTAAGTCCCAGTCGCCTCTTCGGCATGG